GATCCAGTCTTGTTTGCCATCTTGTGAGCTGGCTGCTGCGTCAGTGAATGGGCCTTGCTCACTTCGAGGTCCCAAGCTTCCAAGGCGTGCTTACCGTCCAGACGTATATCTACTATGAAAGCTTCCCGGAGGATGGTATCGGACTGAAGACTTTGGTCGGTGGAGTGTGGTGAGTGCCCTCGATACATTAGCTCCACATCTGAGCTACATGTCCCATCTCCAGGCTCCTAGACGTCACCCACCTGGTGCTCATATCCCAATCCTGCTACCACTATCTGGTCGCTAGCTGGGGTGACAACGCGGCCTTGCTCGTCTCGACCCAGGTCCTGGACCTGCATCTGGTCTTTGTCGGGCTCGCATGTGCGGTCTGCCAGGGGTTCTTCTTGTCCCGCATCTGGACGTTCAGCAACAAGAACTGGGCACTCGTCGCCGTCCTCGGTGCGGCGTGCCTCGCGACCTTCGCTCTCGAAGCGGCCATGTCGGCGCAAATCAGCCGCATCCCGAGCGTCACGGCGTTCTCGAACTACTCGGGTGAGGTCTTGGCTGTATTCGGGCTTGCCGCTGCGGTCGATGTGGCGATTGCGAGCATCTTGGTGTGGTATCTGCGAGTCCAGGGCAGAGATAGCAACTTCGTCAGGACGAACTTTGTCCTTGCGCGAGTCGTGCAATACACCGTCGCTACTGGATTGGCTACCAGGTTTGCTACAAGCCAGTGATGCCAGCGGTGCTCAGACTGAATATTTACAGCTTGCTTGCGGTCGCGTGTTTCGCGGTGGTAAGTCGCATTACCTGAGCCATCCGGAAAGCGTTGACGATCAGAATCCAGTATGTCACGACATCGCATACGTTCATCTTCATCGCACGTCCTCTTCCTCGCCTCATGTGATCCCATCGCATCTTATCTTATCAGACAGGCCATGCACTTCTCGATGGGTCGAATGTACACTAATGCACTGCTCGCAACGTATGGCGCTTCGATATCGCATCAGCATATGCTTATCCTTTCTACAGTCTCAACTCCCGGCGCAATCTACGCAAAGCGCTCAGCGATGATCCAGCCACGGGATTAGGCACAGGGCCGGGACCCTGTTCTTTCATCGCCGGTTTTCAGAATGTGAGCGATATCAACCACATGGTTATTCAGTCCACTGCGACTGACAGCTTCGTTAGTCATCTTCCTCTTCCTCTGATCAGGCTTCGCCGTCGATGCAAACTCGCTCATCGTTCCTCGGAACGGGATCTGAGAAGTGATTTTAGTCTAATGATTATACCATCTCGTGTGGGGATCCCTTTCGTTGGTATATGATTTACAAACGTAAATTCATAAGGCTTCGTCGGCGGCTGTGGACCCCAATCCAAATGTTGATTTGATGATAGTGCACCACATGCATTACAGCGGATACGAGCAATTCATAATTTAGGAAAGGCTGAGAACAACACGACCGTGTACTAAGCAATACAATAAAGTCTAAAAGTCCGGGAAAGAAACCCATGCCAACTAACCACTACCCGTGTCATATTATTTTAGAGGTTGCCTACTGCTTCAGTCTAGGGTTCGACCTTCTATTACCCAGCTTCTCTTTTTCTCCGCCGGGCGCAGGATCTGGGCAGAAGAAAAGTCGGCTCAGATGTGGACAAAAACCCGACCGAAGGATATCAATGCCTACCTGGAACGTGCACAGAAGCGACTCGTCCACGCTGATCATCGCACCCGCGTTATCGAATTCGCCTCCATAATTCGGAGCGGAGAATATGGTCACCAAGTGCTGATTCGCGAAGAACTCGAATCCGTCTTCAACCACCTGGGGCACAGCTTCAACATCGAGCACTGAGGGGCGCATGTTGCGTGATACGCACCTGGTGTCCGCGGACGATCAAGTCCATGTTGTGTTTTTTCAGGAACTGGAGAACGACGTCGGCACCAAACGTGAACGAGATCCCGCGGTCGTTTTCGCCCCATCCACGAAGATCCGGTTCGGGATCCGACCAGAGCAAATCCGTAACAATACCTGAGGCACGGCCGTCAGCAGTGAAACAGAGCCGAGGAGCTCAGGATGATTTCTGTATTTACATACCACTGTCAGGAACATCCGTTGGCCGCAAAACCCGCTTGATCTGGTCCAAAGACAGTAGATCCGGACTGAGTCCTCCGTGCATCGCAAAAATCTTGTCGTCCACAATAGCAGCGATCGGAAGACAGTTGAATGTGTCGATGAACGAACGCCAAATTTTGACGTTGTACCTCCTTTTGCCTGAGAATTATATGCATATTAATTGGCACTTGGACCTGTGAATAAAATACAGAAACGCGACGTACACTCGTCGTAAAAACCGTAGATCCGATTGATCGATGCGGTTTCATGGTTCCCGCGCAGGAGAAAGAAGTTTTCTGGGTACTTGATCTTGTATGCGAACAGCAAGCATATCGTCTCGATCGACTGTTTGCCTCGATCCACGTAGTCGCCGAGGAAGAGGTAGTTCGCGTCAGGAGGGAACCCGCCGTACTCGAACAACCGCAGGAGGTCGAAGTATTGCCCGTGTGTGTCACCTGTTTGCAGGGGATCGTGTCAGTGAAATCAAGTCAAGATCGGTGGGTTCCGGCGGTTTGGCTTGGCGGGACGCACCGCATAATTTGATCGGAGCCTCGAGCTCGAGCAGCATCGGCTGCTCCATGAAGATTTCCCGAGCCCGTTTGCAGAGGTATTGGATTTCCTTCTCTGTCAGGTTGACCATTCTTCCCGGCCGGTGGTTCCGGACTATAAAATGATACAAAAGTACAATGAATATTGGTTGTATGTAGGCTAAAGGCAGAGCAGCGAGGCGAGTTGTCCCGGAGGCATCTCACAGTTGCAGCAGCAGCAGCATCATCATCACGGGCCGCAGACTCTCGCCGCACAAATTCAATTTTGAACATCCAAGCACCTTCAACGAGACGGTCGATGATCGAATCGACCATGGAATCCAGGTCGACTTTGGCCGTGTTTCGTTTGAGAAGATTGGCCATCTGACTTCATGCATCAGAGTCAATCACGTAGGCAGCCGTCTTGGACTTACAGCGGGTGCAAGAGTTGGACGGGCTACTCGGGATATGGGGAGGAAGAGAAAGAGGAAGAAATCACTCCATGTGCTCGCTTATCAGGCGCATTTGAATGTGACTCATTTCAATCAACTTGTAACGTGACCTACCACATAGCGATCTCAATTCAATCTCCACGGGAAGTACGAGGGAAGAAGAGTAACAAAACGAACAGGAAGAAAAGGCGAGAAGACCATGGCCGAAATCACAACTTGGCCCTGAAAGTGTGTGTTCCCGTCAGGGTTCCCTTCAAACTATCCACTTCTTCGGCTGTGCCCAGCAGCCTCTCGTCGCCCAAGACAAGTTCGTGGACCCCGTCGACCACCAGCCGCCAGAACTCGTCCATCAACCCGATCTCACCGCCATTTGGAACCGTTCCCGCGTCCCAGTTTAGCCAGATACCGAATCTTCCCAGGAAAGTGCGTGTGGAGAGCAAGACACCGCCCGTCCCCCGCCTCGATCCACCGACCAGATCCAGCAATTCAATCGCCGGATACCGTTCAGTGCGGAACAGCGCGTCGACCGATCCTTGCTGCGAGAGCCCCATCAGGGCGAGTGAAGGCGCGCCGGCCCCCGTCGCTGGGGATGCAGGTGGGGGAGGAGCTTTCGATCCCTGCGCGATCGCATCGTCGAACCGAGCCCAGCCCTTGGCACGTTCGGCCCGCATTTCGGATGTAGCAAGGGCCCGACCTGGAAGCAGAGGGCTTCTGACATATGCACCCACTTGCCGATGTGCTTCTTTAGCGCGGTGCCAGAACAAACACATTGGGTCAGAATGCAGGAAGCCCGGAAGACACACGCTCAGATACTCAAGTGCTAAGCCCAAGCGCGGTTGCTGACAAGGCGGGAGGATGTGTTCCAGGTTGACAACAGAGTAGAGCAGCATCGGCAACTCCTTCGGCGCGCATTGTCGGTATTCCGGATGAGCGGCCATGAGTCGAAGCCAGGCAATGTTGCACAGCGCAAAGAAGGCGTTCCCGATGGACACCCCGTGAGCCTTGCATGCTGCACGGATGGCGATCGTCTGCTCGCGGCTGAATTTAGCCTGCAACTGTCGAGTCTGCGTCCGTTGCGCGGGTTTCGGTGGCGTCTTTGCCTGCGGCGCCCGAGGGAAAACGTGGCCTCCCTAGCGAGAAATTCAGCTGCAGTGTAGCAACAGCTGGATAGCTCGTACCACATATCGTCTCTGCACATTGTCATGATCAACTCTCAGCGCATGGCGACGGAGTCTTGAAGCCTTTGATACAGACAGCAGAGTCTCTGTCGAGGGCATGATTGCTTCCTTCGGTGCCACATGACCCCATCGATCAATCCACTCCCGACGTAAGAGACTCTCCAGTTCAGCATCGGTCTGCACGGCCAGCAGCTCAAACATGTCGTTGATGAGCTGAAACACAGGGATCGCACCGCCTATCATGTGGTGCGAGCTGAGGAAGAGGTGATACTCAAAGAGCTCCCCTCTGCCGACGGACTGACGCGTGATATCCAGTCTGGACAAACGCGACAAGGACAAAAGTCTGGGCCCATTGAGGCAGTCGTCCATGAGCTCATGCCCTAGCTTTTTATCGTGGAGAAATATCGTTTGGGACGCTTGTTCGATCGCAGTGACGTGCGTTGGCGGAGGCATATACCTGTGAGTGATTCAGGGGACATATGCGGTACGAACTTGCATGCTCACACGAAGTGGGCATCGTCATAGTTTCCACGAGGCATTTCCACTGAGCAGGCGAGAAGCGAGTGCCGTTGACGCATGATAGCCCAGACGATCGAGAGGCGCACGGGCGACATCAATGTGGATGGTGCACGGAAAGCGATGCTAGCTACGCGAGTCTGTGGTCATCTCCCTGCAAGCAGATGAGGCATGCATCAACCCACTGAAGACATCGTTGAGTCCAGTGGCTCGACTCTGCAGGAAGTAGGACCTGGAACCAGTTAGGGGACGCGTCCGAGGTGCTAGCTTGGGCTGACAGTTCATTAGGACTCAGCTCCCTCCGGTATACAAGCTGCGTTCTATCCATGAGGCGGGATCTAGAGGCGAGTTCTCGGCCGTCGGGGTGAGATGCAGTAGACATGAACGCGGAGAGAGGAGTGCAATATCTGAAGCCAGCAGCATAGACGGAAGCTTTTATTCGCCGCTAGCTCCTATCCATACCCCTCTCTTTATTCGAGCGTTGGCTGGGACAAACATCCCCCCTTCTGAAAGCTGCGCATAAGATAAGATTGCGAAAGATTGCGAACTGTGGTCTCTGGTAAGGTCTCATGTTGCACGTGCCGGATCGCGTACAAAAAGTGCTCAAAGCCCGCTGATAGCCGAGCAATCGTCTCGATTCGCTTGTCAAATTTTTATCGATCCTTCGTTTATTGCACCTCAACCTCGCCATGAGCGTCCGTCTTCCCCCGATTCCTTCTGGAAACCACTCCGACTCTGGTTCTTGCTCATCATCGTCCTCCTCTGACGGCGAGGAAGAGACATGGGACGACTGGGTCTCCGAGTCGGGTGCGGGCCCTTGCAAATCCCTTTTCGACGAGACGGTGCTGGAGAGTGCCAAATCTGCTGGAGAGCACGATAAGGTCACACACGGTGTAGACCTCGACGCGCTATGCGCGCGTTTCAGTACGTCCTGTCTTGGAGCTGAGCGCAAGGGATGATGATACCGTGCAGAGCTGGATACTTACCAACGAATTCGTTTCATCAACTACATGAGGAAAACGGTGCGTCTCGCTTGCACCTTTATTCTCTCGTGAAGCTCATCTAGGGTGTATTCATAGAAGCCCAGCCCTGCCGATGTCCTGGCTTTGACCGGATCGGAAGCCTTGTTTACCTCGGACGAGTATCTCCAGCCTGTCATCGAAGATGACCCTCTTCTGCGTGCGTTGCGACTCGTCCACTCAGTCACCTCGCTCAATGAGGCGTAGAAATCGAACCCGAAGACTGGTCTGACTCGGATGCCGAGTCGTCCACAGATCCCGTCAAGCGCATTCGAGCGCTCGAACGGAAGCTGGCCGCCGCACAGCAAGATCTCATCGACTATCGCCAGCTCGTCAGCAAGCAGCTCGATGTGCCAGCCTTGATCGCCGCTGTAAATGAACCTACTGCTGCTGGAAAGGCACCGACGCGGGATGACGATTCGCATTACTTCCAGAGCTATGCCGAGAACGGTATGTATATGTCCATCCTCCTCACCTTTCCGTTCCTCACTTGCCCCAGACATCCACCTCACAATGCTGACTGATCACATACGGACCTCGTCCTATGCCGCCTTCATCCTCACCAACCCTCAACTTTTCCACAACGCCACGGTCCTCGACGTGGGCTGTGGGACCGGCATCCTCTCGCTTTTCGCAGCCCGTGCAGGGGCCAAACGTGTCTTTGCCGTGGATGCCAGCGACGTCGCTGAAAAGGCCGACCGCATCGTTCACGAGAATGGCATGGAGCATATCATCAAGGTGGTGCGCGGAAAGATCGAGGATGTCGTCCTCCCTTTCGATGATGGCGAGGAGCAGAAGGTGGATATCATCGTGTCGGAATGGATGGGTTACGCGCTGCTGTATGAGAGCATGCTCGATTCGGTTTTGGTCGCCAGAGATCGGTTCCTGAAGCCCGGTGGTGTGCTGGCTCCAAGCCAGATGCGGATGATGTTTGCGTTATGTGATGGCAGTGATATAGTTAAGGAGCGGATCAAGTATTGGGACGATGTTTATGGTATGCCTCCATCGGCTGTGCCTTGTCGATACTGACCGTTCTCGCACCTACCCACCACAGGCTTTGATTTGTCCCCGATGGCAGAGCATGTTGCGGATGAGGCCATCGTCGATGTTGTTGGTCCCGAAACCACGTTGAGCGTCCCGTATTGCGTCAAGGCCAGTTCTGCACTCAAAATCTGTCGTATTGCGATGCTCACACCGCATGAAATAGGACCTCTACCTACAAAACATCACACCGCGAAATCTGTCCTTTGTCTCCCCATTCACTCTCACCTGCACCTCCATCCGGCGCACGAAAATCACGTCGTTCATCCTCTACTTCGACACGTTCTTCGCGCCAGACGGTCAGCCCATTTCCGAGAACGAGGAAGTCCGGGTCGTCAAGACCGGTGAGGCCATGGTGACGGACGTGTGGCCTGTTGGCGGTCGCCCTGCTCCAATGCGCCGGGCAAGCTCGCAATTCAGCCCTGATGGTGAACCCAAGCCGCTCAAAATAACAAGTTTCAGCACCGGGCCACAGAGTGTACCGACGCACTGGAAGCAAACGCTCTTCTTGCTGCGTGATCCCATTGTTGCAGAGGAGGGTACGTCAACTTCCCTTGCTTGTGCCTCATTGATAATAATCTAATCTAATCTCTACAGGATCTGTGGTTACCGGCCATTTCCACTGCAAGAAAAGCGACGCAAACTCCCGCGAGCTGGATGTTGAAATCCATTACGCTGTTCGTTCTCCGGATGCCGAACAGCCAGGAGATACAGTCGTCCAGATGTACAAAGTCCGGTAATTTGGCACCAGAGGTATCTGTCACATATGTATCTATGGACCCGATGGTCTCGATTTTCGATCTACTTGGAACTCTGCCCCTGCACCATGATCTATAATGGCCTATTCTCCGCATCTCTCCATCTCATTGATTCGGCTACATGCCGGCTCTATGCATGTCAGAGGCGACATGTGTGATGTACATGACAAAACCAACGTATTCCTCCGGTGCAACATCTAGAACTCGCAGGAACGGTTCTACGAGAACAAAAAAATGCATAATAATTACAATTGCGATGCCAATGCTCGGATTATATAACATATCGATAACCATAACTCCCGCCCTCGACGTCTACTCCCCTCGACTCGATTGCCCGACCTTGCCATCTGCACTAGCTTCAGGTGGGACATCCTCCGATACCGCCATGATCCCCGGCCGTCCAACGCTCAGTGCCAAAGACCACATCAGGATCTCCCACGTATTTTCGATGACTTCCCAGAGCGGGTCGTCATCGATCCCGAGTACAGTCGCATTGCTCCACAGCCCGTGGACATCCATGGCATGCTTTAGCAGTGCCTGCGACGTATACGTCTGTGCGAGCAGCGTAGCCTGCGCCCGAGTGCTGCTTGCCGCATTGACAGTGGCGGACATCGGTCCAGGCGGCAGGAGAGCTTTGGACAGGTTGTCGGCGCGTTTGGTGTAGAGGAATGATAGCAATTGGGGAAAAGTCGACGGCGATGGTAGGCGGAGGGGCTGGACGGGCACCCGCACCCGCGATGGATCTAGTGTTCCGCTCTCAGAGTCGACGACGTGCGCCGGGACAGGCGGCGTCGGTGGTAGTGTGGGGATCCGCGAGCAGTACAGTGCAAGAACGTTGGTATGTGCGGGAAGTAAAACGACTTGCGTCGCCGTCGTCGATGGTGATGTGGATGGCGTCCGATAGACAGCCAACAGCACCGTTGGTGGCGGGTAGTCTGAGCCCTGATCGTTAAGACGTAGGACCATGTCCGGCACTAGGGTCGTTTTGGACATATCTTCAACACTTGCACTAGCAACTGTCCGGAGAAGCCTGCGATAGGGTTCAGCCTCTTGCCTACTTCGCCAAGGAGAGAAACACGAACCCCGGTCCAAGTTCCTTCATCACATCTCGAATATATGCCAACTGCCCTGGCTCAAGAGTCGTGCCTTCCGTTCCCTCACTGGCGAACTCGGGTGCAACGCTGAGCAGCAGTTCCGCATTCACGCCCAGTTCATCTTCCGCTATGTCACGCCGGGCCAAGAATCGTGGCAGATGGAACGACCGTATTTTACTACTAGAAGCGGCCGTTTCCTCAGCGTCGACGTCAGCAGGCCCTGGAGGTAAGTCGAACTCCAACATAGCCGGCTTCGTTCTGTTCTTCTTCTTCGCCTTTCCGTCTTTGCCCGCCGCATCCTTTGCTGCCTTCCGTGTCGCCTTCCTCTCCCTCGCCGCCTTGACCCGCTTCGCTCTTTCCGGATCCCGATCCCGGAGACCCGCCCGCAGTCGGTCGTGAAATGACGAGGAGGAGTACTGATGAGATTTGGTGAAGGTGGTCGATGGTTTCTGTGCGGAGGATGACGCAGGGAACGGGGCAGCATTCTCGCGCGCGTGCCGCGTTTGTCTCGGTTGCAATGCGGGAGGCATCTTGTGCGTCGGTGGGGAGGGTTCAGATGTGGTGAGTGGGCGGAAAGAACAGAGGAACTTGTTGGACAAGCGTTCGCCAACGCAAGCACATAATAAGGATCGTGACCGGAACGGGGGTTGCTCAAAAGTGCGCGCAGGGAACCAATCCTCCCGCCAGAGCCAATCCAAAAGTTGCCATTTTGGAAAAGTTGCTACATTTGGACATGCCTTTGTGTGGTGTTGCTATGATGGTTGATCGGAGTTCTCCGATGTGCGAAGCATTGAAGTTCGGGAGGAAGGGCAAGGGGGTCGCAACTCTTGAAAGGTGTCCGTAACCGACGGGATTAAATCTAAATGGGAGATCAACGCTCCACCGCTGATCTTATTTCATGACACCGTCTTGACTGAGGGAATAGTCGGTCTCTCAAATTTCATGATAAACTGATCTAGTGCCTATCTTCCTCGAAATGTTGCCAGAATTGTGCGACCAATGAGAAGCCAGAACAGAAAGATCTCCTTGGAGACTCTTGAATGAGGTCAAATGACTGGTCTCTGAATTGCTGTCTCAATAATGAAAATTCCTCTAAATACTAATGGAATGGATCGTGTATAGAAGCGTAGGAGACGCAGCGACATGGCTGCAATTACTTGAGAGAGCGTATCCTATCAAAGACAGCGGACGAAACATTTTGCACGGTGCAAGAGAAGAAAGCTATTCCATCAAGATCAGTCATACCATCGAAGGAATCTGACAGACCAAGTTAAACACACCGTTGATTCACTCCACATCGTCGTGACTACTATGGCTTTCTTCTCTCAACCGAGCCATCCTCTCCCCATCAGTGCGCTCCTTGACCTCGATCGCGTAGGCGTTTACGCAAGATTTGCACATCCCGCCTCCGGTAGGAGCACCCATGCACCAATCACTCCGCACGGCGTAGTGCGCAAACTGCTCGTGCAAGGACAGCCGAGTCGAGAGCATATACTTCACAGAATCGCTAGCCTCATCTCCACTGCAGATCCCTTCGATGATGAGACAGATCTCGCACTGCACCATTCGCAGAGCCTGCAGTCGAAGAGGGGCACATATATCCATATCTCCGGCGATGCAACTTCCCTCGGGCCCCACCGTCAGATACTGGGCGCGTGTGACACCTGAGCTCACAGGAAGCGATTCAGATGCATTGGTCATCAGCAACGCGGCAGGCACCGCCGGTCTGGTCTTAGGAATCTGATTCCCATTCTCGAGTCTCACAGCTGACGCCTCGACGACCTTTCCCTCTGCAAGCAATCGGGCTCGCTTGTCCACAGCGCCATCATAGTCGCTCGCACGAGCCTCGTAAGCGACACGGATACGACAATGACGTGCTGCCAAGTACTCTTCGAACGCGCTAGGCGATCCTTCGTGTTTCTTCAGAGCGCTGTCTATCTGTTAAAAGAGCTGAGAGATTACAGATGTGGGGAAGGCGCACCATCGTTGCACACTCATTCGCGATACAAAGGACGTCTGCCCTCGAATACTGCCCAATATACGTCAGACTGGGTATACATAGGATGCGAGGTAAGGGTCGCACACAAGTGGAAGCATACCAGCTTCGCGAGACTTCAGATCATAATAAGCGAGTGCATGCGAGAGAGGAACGAGCGAATGCATTTCCGGGATGAGGCAAGCTTGGCAAATACGCTAGCAGCAGATTGACAATGGAAGCACAGAGTAACCCAACTCAACGCCGTGGCGTACCTGAAGTAGAGGTATATGGATGTTAGGAGTCGGTGCAGAGCAGAGAGAGCATCTATAGTCAAAGCACACGGTCACGATGTCGCTGCAGTGAGAGAAGGCGACGCGAAACATTAGCTTCGGCCGAAACCCTGGCGGAAGCAGCACGGACCGTTTGGAGATTGTATCATTTACGAATGATCGCAGATCCTTCCCATTTCCCAGCCACTCGTCATGATCTTGGAGCAGCTTCAGAGGCAGACAGGCGTCAAAACCGGACTGCAGCAGGGAATCCATGATCACTCACCTCAAACCACCGCTCCCATCGCGAATCCTCCAACACCATCACGCGCCATGATTTCGAAACGTGACTCAAGATAAGAAGGTCAGGCTTGGAAAGGTGATGATCTGTGCGTTATTCCATAGATGACAGAGCATCGTGGGCCGTGTGAGCGGGAGGGAAGTCAAATGAAGACGGAACGTACATATGATGAGCTTGAGCTCTACAGGAAGAGCTTCGAGCCTCGAATGGCTTAATTCTTCGTTGGGGTTGTTCTGTCGAAAGCGTCTGGTGCGGACGGGCATTGTCGAAAAGGAGATGCAGTCGGAGATGAGCGGTGAGTGACGTGACACGTCGCGACCTGATCAGTCCACGCGCATGACTCTAGTCGACGCGGTCAGGTGACCCTCTCAGATTTGTGGGCCGCCTCCACTTTTGAGCGAAACTGAACATTTCCAGTGATATCCCTAAGAGTTCTGATTTTTGACTCAGGAGATCTCATTAAAAACAAAAATTTGTTCATCTGGAGAATTGTGTTCGAATCCAAATCACTCAGTTTTCTTCCAGCTTCCTACCAGACAGTACAGGCCAGAGAAAGCCAAAAATCAGCCCTGAGATAAACCACTATCGATCAAAACCGAAAGCGATAATATCGTTAGAATCGCAAGTTTCTCGAGAACTGTCTTTAAACTGCAGTAAAAAGGCACAGCACTGACGAGCATTACGGTCTCTCGAGCGGGGAGTCGAACCCCGGTCGCCTGCGCCAGCGAGGGCAATTTCCTGACAGGCAGGAATCTTCACCGTTGGACCACCCGAGAGCGAGGAACATGTGGGTGATTAAAGTTGCTTCACCGCAAATAATGCACGCGCTCATCTGTGATCGTTACTTGCCTCCATCGAATCGTCATAGTCAATTGATGGGATTTCTCCGTGGAAAGGACACGCACCGGGTGCTCCTTGATAACAACCCACGCACAGGCGTCTCCAGAACTAAAATGAGACCAGCGTGAAAGCGGGGTTCCGGCGGCCCTTTGCCTGAGACATCAATGGTTGACAAAGGCATGACTGCCATATTAAGGCCGACGCCGCGAGCTTCCATGTCAGATATACTATATAATGGCTGCCCAACGAGGGACAGAGGAACAGGATCCAGCATGTCCAACAAGCCTTCTGTGTTGATCGTCGGCGCAAGTGGTGCCCTCGGGCAACCCTTGACACAGGAGTTCATCAAACAACGGGATCGGATCGGTCGTCTTGCGATTCTGTCTGACCCGGCGAAAGCGCATAGAGTGGAGGCCGCTCGAGCTGCAGGCGTCGAGATCGTCCTCGGGTCGCTGATCGATCCTAAATGCTATCAAGGCAGGTGTTCATCGGCCGGATCGCCCAGTGTTGCTCATGAAACCACGCAGGAATTGACATCGTCTTCTCCCTGGTGGGGGATGCCACCATGCGCTTGCAGCCTGCGATCATCGAGGCTGCTGTCGAGGGCGGCGTGCGCCATTTCTATCCCTCCGAGTTCGGTACGGACATCGACCAAGATCACGTCTGGCCCTTCCGTTACTTCCGTGATAAGCTCGTCACCCGAGATCATCTTCGCGCGACAGCGAAAAAGGTCCCCGGGTTCCAATATACTCTGATGCTCGTGGGTGCTTTCACCGAGTGGTCGTGCTCCTCGTTCAGCGGCTTCGATTTGGAGAAGCACACTGTGGAGGCATATGGGTACCCGGAGGCGCAAGTTTCAGTCACAGCTCTGAAGGAGTGAGTACCATGTATGCAGCCCCCCCAGAAAGCGCTCACAGCCTGCCCCGCAGCATCGTGAGGTATGCCGTGGACTCGATCTTCCTCCCGTTTCCCAAGGATCACGCCATGCGTGAGATCCGCGTCCGGGGCGACCATGTCACGTTCGCCGAACTCATCAAGACCCTCGAAGAGGTCCAAGGTGTCTCATACACCGTTTCGTACATCGACCCAAGCGAGGCTGCAGTCAAGCAAGAAGCAGCGCGCAAGCGAGGGGAGGAATCGGAAGAAGTGAAGTGGGCTGGGAAAACGATCTGCCCAACAGGAAGAGTCACCGTTCCGCTTCCGATTGATAACGACAAGTTCGATTTCAGACCGGAGAGTCTGAAGGAGACGTTGGCGCGGTTGTTTACGACGAAATAGCAGTTTCTGTAAATCTTGTGAAGTTACGAGTGTTCATTGCTACCAAGACTCGTAGATCGACTCCCACCCTACTCAATCCAGCAGGCGAAGTAGCTTGGTGCTTCGGTCGTAGTGACAGCAGTGAGAGTCAGCACGAGTATTCACGCTGCCTCGGACATCAATTGTCTGATCCGAACTCAGACTGGGACATCACAGTGCGCAGGGCCAGAAACATTGCTTTCGGAACGCAAGGCTCATGAACCCTCGACGACAGCCTCTGTCCCCCCAAAATCGTAGTCCAGACATTCAGGAGGTGAGCTACTGTACGGGGAGTGATCAGAAAGTCGCACTGTTCTCGCATAGTGTCGGCCAGGGCATCAGTGAGTAGAGCTGAAGGACGGTCTGGGACGTGGACATGCTGCACACTCGACTGAGACAAGCATCCATCCTATCCGGTCCATGAAAATGTCACCTAGTACCGAGAAGTGCTACTAGTAAAATAATATCTCTGGAGGCATTTCATTCGTCTGTAAGCGCGTTTGAATACAGCATCATATTGAGGAACAATAGACGTCAGAGTTCACGAAGGTCGAGCTTCAACCTGACGAGGGCCCGCCACCCTCGTTCCTGTATGGGTTCCATTTCTGTTCGCTTGCGCAGTCGCCTGTGCTGAAGCCAATTGCAGTCTATAACACCTGCAGACCAAGCTGCGCTCGGTTTGACTTCGTGCTTTCTCACCAGCGGCTAACCACCGAGATTCCCCCACCCCTGGTACTGCTGCTGCTGATGCACCGATATCTGACCCTGGAAGCCGAGGGTCGATGTCGACGGCAGTCGTGTGTGAGCCATCCCCGGATTCGCACTCATCGCAAATGCAGCACCAGGGCCCGTCGCATACAATGTCTGACCAGTAACGCCCACGCCACTACCTGAGCCCAAGGCACCATACATCGCATGATTCCCGGAGACAGTCCTCTGATGAGCCAGGGGAGGCTCCGCCCAGACCGTGCCCTGCGAGCCGAATCTTTGGTGCTGTAGCTGCTGCTGGGGATAGGCGCTGGCTGCGCTGGGATACCGCGGCGACCCGTACGGCATCGGACTGCCGAGCGACAGGGACGCTTGCTCGGCCCTCGACGCCGCCCAGATCGAGGCTGGCGCTGGTGACGCGCTCGATCCGAGCCCAATGCCGCTGACTGCCGAAGCTCTGACAGACCCGGCCCCAGAGCCCCTGGCAAGAAAGCCCTTGAGCAGGTCTTCAGCAGTCGTTGGGTTCACAATCTTGTCCTGAGGGGGCGCAATCGGGCTGGGTAATGGAAGGGCGGGGCCGGGAACAGAAACTGGCGCTTGCGCTGGGATACGATATGGGGAGAGCGTGTGGTTTTGTGTTTGTGCCGCAGGAAGTACTCTCGGTGGAGGGTCCGCACTTGGCAACTGAACCCCGGTTCTCGCAGGTGTTCCAATGGGCGCCATCGGCTTTGCAGCGACGGGAACGTCCTTGGTGCGAATGTCCCAGACGATCTCGTCCTCCTCATCCTCGTCCTGCGGTTCCGTTTGCAAGAAAGAAAATGCCTCATCCAAAAGGGCAGTGCTGGTGTCGTCCGTGGTTTCAGAAGCGAGGTCTTCCTCGTGCGCGGTTGCCGACGTAGGGCCGTCTAAACCCACGACAACCTGTCGACCATACACTGCGAGGGGCGAGTTCTGTACCTTGTGTCAGCAGGAGAATCGATGTAAACGACAGACACACACCTCCATTTCCACGACCTTTTTCCCATCTCTGAGCAAATCTGCGATGCGCATGAGTTGCTCCACATTGGGATGCACTTGCTCCGGAGGCGTCTTGTATTTGTTGCTGTTGAAGACGCCCATCAATCCACCCAGCGGCAACCACGCACGCATATCCATGTCCTCCTCCAGCTCCATCTCCTCTTCAACAGGCAGCATCGCCACCGGAAACGTTCGCCCCAGAAGCCTGATGAACAGAGCATATGCGCTCCAGAACATCTCCAGGTCTTTCACACAACCGCGCACCCAGCTCCAATTCGCAAGTATCCACTTCGAGCTCACCCGCAACGCAGGCAAAGTCCGCCGGAATTCAGCGCTGATCCGTTCCGCGAGAGACCCGGACGCAACATGAGGATCAACTTCGGCCAGTTCCTTCGCCCCGACGTTCAACAGAGCCGTATGCAGCGCAAAAACATGTGTCAGCTGCGCAGTCGCTTCGTCGGGGCGACACCGCCACACCGCACCCTGCGCCATCACCCCGACACGTACGATCATTTCCTCCGGGAGAGCACGGGCCGCAACGAGCCGCCCGAAACTCGCTGTCAAATGGTTCGCGAGTGCTTCCGTTCCCGGTGGACAGTCGTTGCTCCACAGCGCATGTAGAAACACCACCTCGCGCCGGAACCGGTCGATCCGCACTTTCGGGGGTCCATCGCCATCGCCTCCGATACTATTCGCCGCAGAAATTGCGTTTGGCAATGCTTTGGCCAGCACACCTGCCAGATTCTCTGCTGCTGTCTCGAAGGGGGTGGCCACACACAATGCACGCAGATACCAGCCGACAGCAGCCAGCGTATCTGATTCGTAACTGCACGTAGTTGAGCAGCAAGTAAAGCAGGTCAGCGGCCGACTCACCCAGCCAAAATAGCCAACTGATTCGCTGCATTCCCATCTCCCGGATTCAGTCCGTGCGCCGCAAAGTACAGCGCTCTTGCGCGCGAAAAGTTCATCCTCTGCTCCATCGCCCGGCGACCATGCCCTCTGCCTTTCCCTGCAGCAGCAACAGTCACAGGCCGGTACTGTTCGCGATACCGCGCAATATCTCCAAGGCAAATCAACAATTTGCTCAACGTCCGCTGCCCCACAGCCACAAAGGGGCTGGATATCTCTCCGTCGCTCTTCTCTTCCTCATCGCCCTCCCCACCAACTCCGCCCCCTGGGAATCCAAAATGATTCATCCTGTCCCCTTCCGGCGCTTCATCCTCTCCGCCGGGCAACAGCTCGCCCGGGACTCCGTACGCACGCTGCACCCGCTGCACCAGCGCCCGATAAAACCGCTCCTCTTCTGCGAGAAACTGCCGCAGCCGCTGCTGAAGCTTGCGTGTCTCCACAATGTGCCCCGTCGGCGCTGTGTTCTTGCTGCCGTTGTTAGCAGTGTTCGCATTGTTCGCATTCGCGTTATTCGTGTTTGCATTCGTGTTTTTGCCGTTGCTGCTCGCGTTCGCGGCGTACCGCGCAAGGCGCGCCTTGTATAGCCCGATGAACGCATACGACGTCTGCATCCACAGATGCGCGACTGCTTCGCGAGTCTCATCCTCCTGCCCGTGCAGAAGGAGTAGGTGGACGTATCGGCGCCGCAGACTGGGGAATGCCGGAGAGGTTGATCAGAAGGGTCGCGGAAGACAGATACGCCGCGGAACGCACTTCTTCCGCTGAAACTCCGCCTCCCTGAAATTCGCCGGCGCCCAGACGTCCCGCCCCAACAGTACTTTGAGCCCCGCATGTATGCTGCGCGCTTCCCTGGAGTGGTATCAGCGTGACTGTCTGGTTGGAGAGAACAGATGTGCGAGGAAATTTGGCAGTCGGAGATGAGAGGGAGCAGGTAGGTAGAGTGGCATGTAGACGAGGATCAAACTGCGCCGCAAAACATACCGACTCAGCCCAATCGCAGTGGTAGACTCCATTTCTCAGCAAGTCGGTGAATACTGAATAATCAATTTGGATGGAGTTCCAATGGGTACGCTTTCTCGTGCTCGTTCTTCGGCTGCGCGTCAGTGCGCCTCCATCCCGATGCCTTGGGAGGTGTGTTGTACAGGAATCGGTTATTTCGAATCGTGTCGTGTGGCGATGTGATCCTGTACCAGGAGAAGTCGGCGCGCAAGTGTCTGGCGACAGTCGCTGCGAAGAAGCTGGAGCTCGGCACCGCCACGAGACAAACCGCCGCCAACAAGCAATCACGGCCGCTTCCGAAGCGCAATCGAACTGCTACTTTCACTCTTACTCCTCCGTCGGATCGAATGGTGACAATATTGCTCGATACTAGGGGATCCGGGAGGGTCAGGTTCAGAGGACTCACAGACCCAGAGGTGGGTAACATGCGCAAGCAGACCATTCTAGAGCAAGTAGGAATAAGATGTTTCGAGGGCAGGGCATTACTGAACCTCGTCCATGGATCCAGAATTGGGTATGTCTCCGTAGTAAGTCTGCGATTGAGAGGAAGAAAGTGCTGTTTACGAGACTAGTCGCTCAACCACCATTCACCATGCTCGAAATGACAATCACCGCGACTGTCTAGGTCTAGACTTCCTTGCATTCAAAAGATAACGCTAATGCCTCGGCGCCCTGACACTGCCCTCATGTACATGGGTTCCATCTACACCATCATCCCAGGCCCTCTTGCCAGCGACAATTACCTTGATGATTCCACCGCGCATTGCTGTCCTTCTCATTGTGTCGATCTTCTCCGCCTCTTCCTCCGTCGCTCTCAATGAAACCCACTTCGGGCTCTACAAGAACACGCATTTGGTCCCTGCCGACTGAAGCGCCGCCCAACGCGACAATCCCGATCCCAGATGTCGGTGCCGGTACTCAGCTGATCACAAATGGCTCGCTGTCTGCAGCTGAGTTCTGCGACAGATTCTGGAACTACACAGTTCTTACCGAGTTTGCCTGCGGACGGCGCCTTTACGCCCTCATGGGTCAATGTCTTTTTCAACGTCGTGACGTGGGCGCTCGGTGCGGCCGGTCTTTGGCTGCGGTTCAGCCCCAACGACCAGGATCACTTCGAAGAGTATGAGTTCTCTGCGGTCGAGCGGACAGACGATTTGTGCGTATAATCGCTATCCTCCGGTCACTGCGAGAGCGCTCACTTGCGAATCCAGCGACCCGATCTTCATCCGACCGCAAAAAACCGCGCGAACCACATTCAGTGCGATCAAGCTCTATGGACTGCTTTCATATTCACTCGGCACGACAATTCTTTGGTGGCACTCCTTCATTGTCCTCATCCGCGACCAGGCTGGGTCGCACGCCTTGCTCTCGCCCGTTGCGGTGTTCACTGTCATTGGGTACCTCGTCACCTTGGAGCGAGACATTCCGGCGCGACTCTATACGCCGCTAAGTTGGGTGTTGACGCCTGCGGCGCTGGGGCAGTTCAGAGCCTCCATTGCGGCGCTGGTGTTCTTTTATCGTGCCCACGCGCACAGCCCCCAATACACTGTCCTCCCTTCCTTCGACGTCTCCGATTACAGATGTGATGTGCGCGCGATGTTGTTTGATCCGACGAACACAACCTACCTGGTGTCTCTCGGTGCATCGCCGGTTCTGCTAGCCTTTGCATTGCTGCCCCTCGCGCTCATCTTGTTTACCTGTTACGAGTCCAACCTGCGAGTGGGAATCGGACTAGCTTATATTTACATAATCCTTACTTTGTTCTCGGTCATCTCATTCGCAATCGTGGGTCAAAGAGAGACAAACCCCATCGCATGGGACCCGGATTGCGCGCTCGTCCACGTGATGATGGGCAGCGGCTATGGATACTTGGATGTCCAGGCTTCACAAGATATTCAAGCTGGTTTGCATAAAGTAAAGACGATCTTTGGGATCATTTGGTAGTCCGGCTGCATTCCGTATAGAATCATAATCAATGTTTCAAGCTCACCATCGTGCTGGGCGGCAAGTTTTGTCAGGATTTATCGTCTTCCTCGCACTCGGGCGCAAAAATTTGGAGGTTCTCCAAGGTCGATTTTGAGCGCATGATGAGAGCGGGAGTCCCAGTCCCATTCAGCACGCGGAGGGACCAGAGCGCTGGAAGCCAAGATGGCGCAGTAACAAGTTCCCCTCCTCTTCCGACCGATCGAGTTGAACACATACTCTCGGTGAGCTCAACTCGGATCCCATGCAGCTCAAGGTCCCAGTACGTGCCGGCGAGCTACGTGTTTACCCACGCTTCGTAGAATGGCTGCAGCTGACAAAAAGGGCAGAGAGGGCAGAGATCTCAGGCATTCTCAGTTCCATGGGGGTATATCGACGCTTCTCGCTGAATGAGAAATGGAATACAAGTAACGTTGGGGTCTGTTGATGGCCTGAACAGACGATATCTGGCAGCTCAGCGCGCGCACTAGAAATCTAAGCGGCTAGTATGAGACTTGAATGAGACACACCACATGCCCTCTCCTTCATAAGCACGACCGGATAGCTGAGACACGCACACCCGGTTCGCTTTCTCGCGATGATATATCTCAGCGGCAGAGAACGCTCCAACAGCCAGGCCTCGAGCAATCTCCTTCCGGTCACACTATTGCCGATACGAACGAGCAGGATGACATTCTGGGGCCGCGTCTGCACGATATTGGCGGGCGTCGTAGTGGTCGTCGTCGTCTATCATGTCTATCCTTCGGAGCCAGGCTTCCCAGAAGACATGGGATTTGTCGGGAGCCCAGAACCGATGTGGCTGATAGAGCTCGATTACAGCAAGGATTCGGTGGCAGCACTCGACAGGGCAAGTCCGGCCACACCAGTCGAAGCCAGTCCGGAATCCATCGCCGCCACGCGCATCGACGAGTTGTTTCAGCGACAGTCTCAGACGATCCAGGAGGCAGAAACCCATTATAGCCTACGGAATGGTCGCCTTCCACCGCCGAATTTCGACAAGTGGTTCGCCTATGCACAAGAACACAAGTGTCTTGTCGACGAGTACCACCAGATTCATCGCGATTTCGAGCCCTTCTACCAGTTGGCAAAAGAAGACCCGGTGCAGTTCAAGAGAATGGTCGAATTGGGACGGCGCCTAGTAAGCAAGTGCAGATTAATTGGAAATGACTCGGGCTGAGAGTGTATCCGGCAGATGCTGCTGGACCCAAAGGGGATGGTGACTATCAAGATCGAGAATGGCACGATCGAGATGCCGACGTATCGAGGCTCGGTGTGGGATGACGAATGGAAGGCCACATTGACCAAGGTTTGTTCGTCCCAATTCATCTGCCTACGGTCACTGAACACTTGGCCCAGTTCCTCGACGTCCTGCCAGATATGGAGTTCCTCATCAATGGCCGCGACGAGCCCCGCGTTGTCTTCAACACCCAAGATCCCAGAAACCGCAAAACGGCGCTAGCCATCGCGGACACCCAACCATTCCGCATCCGACCGGCACCCACTTCTGATTTCTTCAAAGAACGTGCCGAGTGTCGGACGATCTTGACCGAGAAGGGGACCTCAATCGACGCACTAGAGGATGTTGCGTGTGAGTGAATCAGGACGTTGCACAAGGGGCTGACTGACCTGTCCCCAATGCAGTCATCAACTTCAGCTCCAGCTCCGACTTCACGACCGACTTGTATCCGCTCCTCAGCATGACCAAGACCACCTCGAGCTGCTTCGCGGACATCATGTTCCCGGGCCAATACTACTACGACTCGTCGCAGTGGTCAGGAAAGTTCAGCCGCCCGAACGATATCTCCTGGGAAGACAAGAAGGCCCAATTATGTGAGTTGACAAATGAATCTAGGAGACACGGAGACTCACAAGCTCGACCCAGACTGGCGGGGTTCGTCGAACGGAGGGACCATCTTGAACGACAACTATCACAAATTTTCCCGCTTCCGGCTCGTCAAGATCGCTGCCTCCCGACCGGATATCATCAACGCTCGCATGACGGGGTGGTACGCAGAGCACTGCAAGCCCGAGTACGACTGCGATGCGGGGCCCATCATCGCCGAGTATCTCGTCCCAGGCGGTTTCAGTCCTCGCGAAGAAGTGTATCAGTACAAGTTCGCCCTCGATGTCGATGGAAACACGTTTTCCGGAAGGTATCTGGGTCTTCTGAGATCCGGGTCGCTCGTTTTCAAGGCGAGCTTGCATAACCTCTACACATAGGGCGGCAATGGGCTGACCGGACCCCCAGGCGACCGCATTCACTGAATACTTCAGCGACTGGCTGCGTCCCTATGAGCACTACATCCCCGTGAAGATTGACTTGTCGGATCTGGTGGAGAAGGTCGAGTGGGCACGGGCACATGATAAAGAAGCACGCCAGATTCAGGCGAACGGAATGCTCTTTGCGCAGCGGGTGCTGACCGATAGGCAGAACGACTGCTATTTCGCCGCGGTGCTGCTCGAGTGGGGTCGATTACAGAAGATTTCTGAGGGAATTTGAAGCGGTAAAGCATAAATTGCTTGTACAACAGATTTATAGGAAGAGCGAGAGACACTGGAGACTGGATGAGGTTGTTGGTCACCTATCCGAGTCCGTCACGTCGGAAACGCGATCACGTGCGCTCAAATCTGGATCATGCCCTCCTCGTAGCCGCCCACATCTGCGATCTTCCACTTGGAGACTGTGACATGAACAATCTTCACAACCTCAACATCACGTCCGTGCAGCTTGATAGCCCGTTTGTAAGTTGCGAAGGCAGCGCCGTACACTGAGAGATCACATGAATCATCACAGGCGGGAAGTCCACAACAGAGCACTTACACAGAGCTACGATGGCAAAGAGCGGAACGCTAAACGGAACCCAGAATATTGACATGACAATCGCCAGGACTTGGAAGCGGAGTCAATGAGCTGTAGTGCCAAGATGTGGGTGGATCGTACCCAGCCAGAACGACCCGAAAAAGACCAGGACGTAAATTTGGTCGATGTTCCGTCTCAAAGATAAAGAGAATGGACCCTGATTGAGTTGTGTCGCGATAGGATGCCGGCGTCCAGCGTATAAACTGGTAGACGGTCAGACGACTACAATGGGCAGCACTCGTGATAGTGGCTCACAGCAGACCCAAGAACAGAGCGGTAGGCACCGAGAGAATGACGCTCAATATCATAAGGATATCTATCGAAAGTCTCGATGGAGATTCTTGCGACGAGATTATGACTCACTGGGGCAGCTTGCAGCGGCCATCATTACGATGAACAACGTCCAGATGACTTCGACCACGACGAGAGACGCTGATACCACAGGATGTTAATTCCACCTTGAAACGACACTGAAAGGTCTCACCCAGTATCAGGACCGTCCTGGCATCGAACTTAAACGCGGGTTTGCCGGTCTGGGAGGTCGCATCGGCGGTCTTGAGACTGGATCCTTGCGAATCGACACCTTCCACATCAGCAAGGAGAGGGGTGGAGTCACTCATGTCAGGAAATCTAGTAGTGGGCAAGTCGTGTGTGAGGAGAGGCTGAGTGTGCAAATTACACAAGTTTAAGAGGAATAAGTTGGGTCCAGCCATACTTGCCTGCTGATAATCATTTGGCAGACCGCAGTTGACCGCAGCAAACCAGAATACAATTCGAAACTGATGAAAGCTCAAGCGCTCATGCGCCAAGAAGGATTTAAAATAGCCAAGAAGGCTTCGAACTCGAGCCGGTGGACAGACCAGTATGTAAGTATTGTAGAAGATAGATGGAGATATATACAGCACACAACGGAGGAGCGGATAGACAGATCTGCGACTCAGTCTTCCTCCATCTTGTCGAGCAGATGCCGCAACTGATGGAAACTCTTAAGGGTTGGGGAAGCAGGTTGTTCCGCTACCTGCAGCTCCAAGAAAGCCACCCGAGATTGCAACGCCGCCATCTCCTTCCCCATGGATTCGAGGATGTTTACGAAGGCGGCCATGTCGGTACCCATAAATGGCGTGGTTGGGGTGAGCTGGAGATCGAATTCCGGCTCTCGCTGCATCGAGCGTTGCGGATGGCGCGGATGGTCCGGAGAGGGAGACGGGTAGAACGACCCAGCATGGACGCGGTCCGGTGTCTGTCGCGGGGTGATGAGTGGTTGGTCGATGTGGCCGAGCACGGGCTGCGGATCGACAGCCATCCGATCGTCATCCATATCCTCAGCCTTGATCATTTCAGAGGCGGATGCTCTCAGGGGACCCATGAGCTCAATCCAAAAGTCCCCGCGAGAAGGTGTTGGGGTCCGAGGGACAGCAAAGCCTGCCCGCTCCGGCGCACACACAAATGCGGAATGGGGCGGACATTCGGGCGGGATCGGCGGGGCCGCACCAGAATGGACCGCAAGCCGAGATGTGGAGGCGACAGGACTTGACGGGGCCGTTGGTGGCAGTGAAATGTAGCCAGATAAACGCTTGCGGGGGTCGGTCGTCCGCTCTCCATTAGAAGCAGAGCACAGTCTCGTGGTCACAGGTCTTTGGATCGGCGGAGGCATAAAAGAATGATGAGACAGATCCATGACGGGTTGGGCCACCATCTCAGCTGGAGCTGGCGGCGCAAGTGGGCTCAGACCCAGATTTGCCGGTGGCGTCCGATTAGAAACGGCTGGCGATGCAGATGCATCCTCGTATCTGGAGCCGCGACGCGACTTGACGCGCCGATTGTCCACGGAATCGTCGCTTGGGTGGTAGCGAGGGGGGCGAGCAGTCTTTATTGTGTGGTCAGTGACGGCCGTCGGGAGCTAGATACGATGGGCTCACAATCTTGGGGGTAGAGGAAGGACTGCCCTTCATTGCAGGATATGAGTTCCCTGGACTTGACCAGCGGAATGCCCTGGGTCCTGGATCGATTTGCAGCCTTGCCTGCAGTTCCTCGGCTGAAACTCCACCTGACAGCTGATCAGCGGACAGCCTGATATTGCTGCGCTTCTCGAATTCCCCGGAGGTCCAATCTATAAGAATCTCTCAGTTGCCCAGGCCCTTTCCCCCAAGAAAGTGACATACCAAAAGCCAAGATATCGTCTTTTGGTAGTCTTGTTCGCTAAAAACGCGCTCAAACTGTTTCATGTCCTCGTTGGCTGACCGAAAGTAGCCGAGCGAGTAGCGCCGCAGTGCTCGGTCGAAAGACAAAGAGCGCCAACGACTCGTCAGATCCCTCGCGCGATGGGCTTGCTCCAAGAGACTCTGGCACAGCCGTGCAACATGCCAAATCTCGTATCTGACGGCGGGCCACGTCGCCTCAGGCGATTCTGCGGTCAGACTCGACCGAATCATTGTCCAGAGAAACTCGACGACCCATAAGACAGGGGTACGGTACTGGACGGGTAGTTGGACCTCCACGCGCTGGCCGTTGATTTGACACACAACACCAAAGAACGCGCTACTCTCTCCTCTCTCATCGTAAGCGGATGGCGACGTCGAGTGTGCACGAGGTGGAACGCTGAAGACGTGTTCGCGAAGATAGTCGATGATCTCCGTGTCCTCTATGCTTGTCGGACAAAGGAAGTCAAGTTCCGCAGGGTGTCTGGTCCATGTTTCCTTGTTATTCCGTGGTCCAGTTGGAGGAGACCGTGCAAAAGTGCCATCTTGAGAAGATCGAGACATCCGGTGGCTTGGGGGTGTGAGACTGGCTGCGAAGTACAGATAAAAAGAAAGGGGACGCACATTCAAAGGGCCCGAGATAGACACGGCTGGTGCACGGGCAGATCTGTCAGGGCCGAATGTATGTGTAGACGCGGAGAATCTCGAGCGGGTGGGAGCAAAGGACGAATGCAAATATGAAAGACACCCCGCCGTCAATTTCAATTTCGGCAGGCGGGGTCACAAGTCGATTGAAATAGGGTCACATAGAAGAACGGGACTCCTCGAGGCAACATACATATTGTGTATGTGCTCTTGTTGATAGCAACGGGGGAGGATAGGCTCACGGACATCTAGTGCAGGAATCCTCCGCCACCTTGGATTGCTTAACTCTAATTTCTCCGCTCTTGAAAGCTGTTTAGCTTTGATACGGGCGGGGAAATTCCTGTTCTTTTTTTCGGGACAAGGAGAAAGTTAAACGGGTAAAAAAAAATGGAGCAAGTCGCGTGATTGGTGCGTGATCCGAAAACGTCGATCACTTTCGAAATGGCCCAAATTGGCTCAAATATAATGATCTCTCACTTTTCCGTCGTTGGTTGAAGAAAGGAAAAACTTTGTCCAATCTGACACAACTCTCGAGGCACTGTATCACTCTAATTTCTGAGCGGAAAAGTCAAGAGTCTGACCCTGTTCAACTCGATCTCGGAAGATCTACTGAGTCGCTATGGGCTCGGCAGGATGGAGATGCACCCTGCCTGCACGAGATTTCGAATGGGATATTCAAATCGCCGTCATAGAGGGACATTGGCTAGGGTATGACATGCTTCGCCGCCGTTGGCTGGTATATTGTTCTGAACTAATCGAGTCACGTGTTTGAGCAGTTCGAATGTTCCTAGGTAATTGTAATCACGATCCACGTTCATATTCCTTGGTTCCGAATGAGTTGAGATATGCTTGAAGTTGATAGATATAGGATTGCATTTCAAATAAGTGAAAAAGATACTTGTACACACTGGGAAATGGATATGTATGCAGGCGGAAGACAAATCCGTGCTATCACCACGGCAGCTGCAGTGGCTCATTGGCAGCGACATCGGGGCCAAGTACATCGGGTGCCGTCCCAATATCCCTTCATCATGGTGAGTTCTCTCCACTTGTGATAAGTGGAATGACAGACCTTGCACCCCGGGGAGCCCAATACTCGCCTGTTTGCTCGATAGTGAATGTGTCGATGAAGGAGATCAGTGAGGATGCTGCCTCTTGTGGCGATACAGCACCGCCAGACTCCCAGTACTGATCATATCCCACGTTGCGTGTTAATTCGGTGCGCATGAACCCAGGCTGTGGGTCAGTAAGTGCAGAAATTAAGCAATAAATGCGTGTGCATGCAGAAATGACGCACGTGAACAAGCGCAACGGAAATCCCCGATCCTTCAAGTCAAGACTGAGGAGTTTTCCCACCATGTTCAAGGCAGATTTGCTGGCGTGGTGCGCGTAATTCCCACCGCCCTCCTTCTCGTGTCGTAGTGCAATCGATCCCGACTCGGAGCTGACCAGGACGACCTTCCCTCCTTTGTCTGCAGAGCCAATCGCGGTTCGGATCTTGCCTGCGGCGACGAGTCCTTGTACAACGAAGAGCGGCCCGATCGCGCACGTCGTATACATCTTGACTTCCTCACTCCATTTGGGTTCGTCGAAGGTCTCGCTAACGAAGTACCCCGCAGTCACCACGAGGATATCGATCACGTCGTGCACGGGAATCGCTGCGGCAAGCGCTTCGCCGGCAGATTCAGAGGCGATGTCGATTGAGGGGATCCATGTCACATCCGAAGCTCCAGTGGTTGGTGGGGTGTCGGAACGCGACGTGGCATAGACGGTGTGTCCTGCATCGGAGTACGCAGACGCGAGCGCGTCGCCAAGACCGCGGGTGGCACCGACGATGAGGACTGTTGGCATTGTCGTTGGATGTGGCAATGACCGAATCTATTTGAACACTGTTTGGTTTGGTAGATGGGAACCACCCCGGACCGCAGGTCCGTTGATCGGAGATCATGACACTGACAACCTCCACGTGTTTTATTTCTTTCCCAAGAGATTCCAAGACAAAAAGCGGTAGGGTCGGAGCGTTCGAGGCCCTAGTTTTAAAGCGTGACCAGGTGCACTGGAGGTTTAGAGTGGTCGAGCCATTTAAGAAAAATACCCCCGGATCCGTGCTTGCCCTTCAGCACCCGCGGTCGCAGACCTTCGTTACTAGTCGTTGCTGAGACATGACAAACATAAAACGATCCTGCCAGTCGTTGACGACGTCCCGTTCCACGAGTGACACAATCAACCTCCAACTACAAGTGCCGAATTTTTGGCAGCTGCACAAGGTGAAATAGTGCTCTCCGCTGAGGCTTTCTTGTTATCCCACCCGCAGGCCAATATCATCTCAATGTTCGCACATTGCGTTAAGCGGAATCCGATACTGTATTATTTGTTTGACTTCGATACGCAAGTGCTTGCCAACGTCGGGCCTACGGGGTCTGCTGAGCTGGGCTGTATCCAACCTTTGGCAAGTTGAACAACCGGCAATCAATTGCAGTCCATGGAGTTGCCGGATTTTCCACTGACAGGGCCCAGAACATGCCGTCATCTCCGGCTCGGCTCGGAGATCGCCCCGGAGTCTGCTGCGGGTGCGGCGTTCCTTCGTTCCTGACCGTTTCTTATTCGCTCCCCTCGCCTCGCTTTCCCGAACGATCCTTCTCGTTCTGCTCGTGCAGAACACACTTATCCTTATCCTTATACTGTCGGTGCCGACTGGTTCTCCAGACTTGCGCGAAGCTGCGCCAAAACATCCTCAGGGGATCCTTGTAGGTGGTGTTCCGCACTTTTGAGTCCATAGTTACTTACTGGACTCACACGCTAGGAGCGCGCCGTACGATGACATCGTACATCTCCATTCCTATACCCACCGCCGTCGTCCTCTCCACGGTCAACTCTTTTCTCGCGCCTCCGGGTCCCTCCTCGTCCTTCCGTTTCGAGGCGGCGATAGTCGCCCTCTGCATCATCCTCTTCATCGGACTCATTGGCGCTCTCCAATGCATGCACAACTCGTGGAGGCAAGCTCGTCAGCGACGGCATTTCTCGGAGGACCTCGAACGCCAGCGTCTGATGCACGAATATCTGTGCTTGGAACGGCAGGCGGACGCATGGAAGGACGCGCCGTGCCCGCCCTACGAACCGTCTCCGCCTGCATACCTCGCTGAAGCCCCCGAGTCATGGACGTCTAGCAGACCAGTCGAGTTACTTCACTGAGTCGTATTCCCTGTACATTCTTGTATTCGTATCCTGCATGTAATCGTAGACAAATTCGTTATTTGGGTCCTCATAGTTTTCTGCCTGACATCCCCCGACCGTCGACCGCGGTCGTCAGCGGCCTCGTCTCGGTGATCTTCCCCGCGGGTCGGTGCATTGTATCTGGGGAGAACACCACGAAGTCGGGTCGCTTCCCCAGTTCTATCGATTCCGTGTCGGATTCAGAGATGGTTGCATAGGCTGAGTCGTTAGTCATGCCTTTGGGACAAGCTTGTGTCAATCATTTCAGTTCGAGTTGGCTGGCTGTGCACCTACCCCGAAGCGCCTGGATCCGTGTTCGTATTTGCTTTGGAATCCTGTTGGTTATTCAGACTGAGCACTTCCTCAATATTCCAGACCGTCACTGACCATCCTTTGCTCTTGCGGGGGGACGTCTCCTTCACCGCGAGACGCGTAACGGTAGCGTAATATCCCATCATCGGGTCCATGATTTTGAACTGAGAAGAATCTGAGCCAGGGTGATCTGAGTGGCGAAGTCGAGCCCAAGTCAGAAGGCATATAAAGCTTTCACTCGTCCCCGGGCCCTGGAAACAGCGATTCAGCACGTGGCGGCATCCCCTGTACGTGCCCATGCTAGACGATCCTGTGCATTCTCCATGTCACCCATCCTGGTTGGATTTCGATCAGTCGAGACCCTCCGGCTCAGCTCCAGATAAGCCCCGCACGCGTGACTGCATTGGACACTGGAAATTACTGAAATCTGTGCGTGAGCATCGGATGCAGTCCAAGTCATATGATCGCTTACCGCCCAATGTGCCCAGTCTTCCCATATCGGCTGGGGTCATTAACAGTGCGTGCAAGAGCCTAGGCTGAGCCGCAGACATATTAACGCCCTGGAGCGAAGCCGTAAATGCATCGAGGACGCCACCGTGGACACGATCTCCGATTGCGTGAATGTCGACTTGCCAACTGTCCTTCAGGATTTTTCAAATGACAGCGAAGGACACCTGAGGCTCTAGGCGAAGGAGACCGGAAGTGTTCGGATTGAGCCCGAATAGCTCGTACAGCGGCAAATTCAAATTAGTTGGAGTGCTGTGATTGACTGCGGGGGAGATCGACCGCGAAGCCACCTGAGGAATGCAAGTTTGAAGGCACCAGAGATCTTTCTGCAGTGGAGACATGCCATCTGCAAATATGTGGACACTTCTCGCAGTCAACTGCCCATTTCCCAGTCCCACGAAAGGTCTAATCTTCACACCCCATTACGGTGTCTTCTCGTTCGAGTGAAAGAAGCGCATCGCATGGATTCGGAGCTACATTTCCGCGATCATTATCTCTAGGCTCCAGAAAATTAAGTGACTCGCTTGAATATTATCGTCTTCTGCTTGCCTTCATTGAACAATTTTCTACAGCCTCGAAAATCTCGCTGATACTGTAGAAACCACACCTTGGAACGAACGCTAACGATGAAGGGTCTAGCGCAGCATGCATCGTGTTCGGAAGTCAACGGGCCATAGGCGAGTGCCTCCTTCAATGCGACATTCTACCTGTCATTGAGCTCGCCTTCAGTCAAACGCGGAATTACGATAAGATCCTGGCAATGTCAAGTAGAACACCTGAGGAAACCAATCACAGTGGGTACGTGAGCCGGAGAAAAAATACTGAGGGAGAACCGGACTGGTCCCCGCACGACAACATCGCCTTCAAGCTCATTTGGAAGAACCAGATCTTCTGGAATCCGGTCCGAAACACAGAGGCAGGACATTCCTTTGACTGAAGGACGATGTTTTGCCCCCAGAGCCAGATCGACGTCCAGTGCCGCCTGTGAAGATAACCGTATACAAAGTCAAGTTTTACTTTCGTGTAGGTTTTGAACGACTCACCGCCGTCGGCCAATTACCGTTAAGGGACATGTGATCCCAGCGTCACCCCAAGTCCACGCTTCTAGATTTTGCATGAAGCCAGGATTGCTGAGACTATGCTGTTTCTCACGGGTTTCTGTACATGAAAAGCGAACATGAGTATCAACGATGGAGTGAAAACAAATTGCCATCATTGGACGTGGGTTACCACTGAACCGGGGAATACTATGGCCCTGTGGAACAAAGCACAGATTAGAAACCGCCTTGGTTTCATCTCCAAGCAGCGTAAAGATAAGAAGCTCCGCCGAAGCCCCTCGCCGCACCAATGCTGCCTGTCCGCACG